TATATATATATATGAATAGAACATTATCTATGTCTACGTTGATCTTACAATGATCTAATAAGACGGAAAGAGATCCCCAACAAAGAAAACGCGAGTCCCACCAAATGAAAATAGTCAAGTTAACTCGATCAAAACCAACTGAGTCAAAGAACAAACAGGAAAGCATCTCAATGATTTGAGTATAAAACATTCCACCGAGGCAAGAGACAGTCCAGGCTGTCAACTCTAGGAAAGCCGGCACAATGCAATAGCTCATCCCGCAATAGATCCCACATAATAGAGGAGCCAGTTCCATAAAGTACCTTCGACCATTAAACTAAGATCCAAAAAGTTCTTAACAACTCCGATCAGTCGACTAAACCGTACCGAACAAGCTCAACGAGTCTACCCGACGTAGTCAAGCCAAGTCAACTAAAATTTAACCAGTGATGCGATACAAAAAATATCCAATTACATAACCTCTCGTAATACGAGTAAAAATATAATATTAATACTGTACTAAATCATCTATAAATAGAAATATCATTTAATAAAGAGGATTACATAATTTTATGCTTCATTCAGCAAAAAACATATAACTTTATTCAATTGCAATCCCATTCAAAATCTTAAATTGCAGAAATACCTCTGATGCAACAAAATGGTTAATTAAATTTATAATTATTCATGCTCTGCCATGCAGGTTGAACGGTCTTACATAAAATCGTCAAAATTTTCTTTTTTGGAATTCTCCCTCCGTAGATTCTTCTCTATCCCTTCTCTACAGCACCCGCTGATGTGGAAAGAAGCTGACTTGCCGTTTAAGCTCATCAAACCTTCTCAAATCAAAATTTGAATCCCGCAACAATCTCCCCTGTTTCGCGGCAAATCGAATTTCGAAAAATCCTTCAAAAGACGGCTCTTTGGATGTCTTCAGGAAGAAGCTATAGCCCGCCATGAAATAGCTCGAAGTTACGTAGAAGCAAACCGGCTCCATTACATCCCAGGAGAGCTCCCAGAATGTAAGCCGGAAGAATCCCAGCGTCTGAAGCAATAGAAATCCTAGCCCGCACCAGAGCTCCCGCCGCACGCCCGCGGCGGCCCTGC